ATTATCTGGATGAAATTTTGAAACTTTTGCAATATGTACAGCTACAGCTCGTCTTTTTAATGCTGGGCCCATATTTTCTTCTCGAAATAATATATCCCTTTCATTATCTCCAGTAATCATACTAAGACGGTTAAATTCTTTATTGATCAAAGATTCATCTTTATTACTAGATGGTTTAGTTAGATTTTTGGATTGTTGATTTTTAATAGGCTTAATTACTACTTGCCTATCTGTCTCTTCTTCAACTTCTCCAAAGAATTCATGTTTTTCTTTCATCCTTTTTATAGGTTCTACAGTATATCTTCATATGCATCATCATCCATTTGCAATAATTCGTCATAAAGTGATTTGCATTCTGCTAAATTTTTCGGTTGATCCGATCCTTGAAACTTGAATACATAATTCTTTTTGTAATCTTGAACCCCATTTCCAGATTGTTTCACCAGGTAATCGGTCATTAAGACCTTTTATTTCTGATTTGTTATTACTAACTACTGGCAAAGCTTGATGAACATTATAGTTATTAGCTTCTGTAACTTGTCTAGTTTTGGATATTATTTTAGGTATTTGATTAATAGGCCGACAAGGATCAAGATGTTCTCAAAGTTTTTGAGGTGTTGCTACGGTCTTACTTTTCTTATCTTTTCTAACCATAGCTATTAAGTCTAACTTTTGCACTATATTTTACTTATATAATTTCTTTTCTTTAATTGATTATTTCCTATTCTTTTCGGTTTCCGGTTATAGAGCCATTACCAAAGGCAATATTTACAGGCTTGCCAAAACGGTTTTAGGCTATTACGAAACTTAAGTATTACTATTTATTAATTTTTTGAATTTTAGTGTTAAAAAATAGGATGATTGGTAAATATTCATGTCCATATCTTTGCAATACTGAAAAGGCTTGCAATAACCCTTGCATTCGTCTAGAAAGTTGCCGATTTCATTGGAAAGTTAAAAAACGGATACCATGTTCTGATTGCAGAAAGCCTACAGCTTCTGCTTGTGGCCGATGCCCGTTACATGTTAAAGGCTATTATGTTATTCAGCATTATGACAGGCTTCGATCAAGTAATGAATAGATCATTTCGGCTAGTACTTTATCTTAATTTTAGCCAGAATTTTGGGCATAATATCTAATGGGCATTTGCTAAATTTTCATTAGACTTATTTATGGGAGGAAATAAGAACTGTTAGGCTTAATTTCGTTAGACTTAATTTCATTAGACTTATTTTTTTTTCATTAGACTTATTTATTTATGGGGAAATAAAGACCGTTAGACTTAATTTCATTAGACTTATTTGATAAATATGCTAATTAATATGCTAATTCTTGTAGAATCAATTCCTGATATATTTATTTTTGTTAGACTTATTTTTTATTAGATTTATTTACAATATAGAAATTACAATTTCTTTTTTGTAGGTAAACATTATTTCTTTATTTGGTTTGTATATGTCAAGATATACATTGTGAAAGAAACAACATCTCTCATATGTAAGTACAATGAGTTAAATGCTAGCTTGCCTACAGTAACCATTTGACTAATATTGAAAAGAAAATTTAAAACAATATATCTTGTCAAATGGTACTGAGCAGCTATGAATACCTATTCAGTATTAGGATAAGAGGTGTTGGATAATAGTAATATTAATTTTTGAATACATTTGGAATAATTATATTTATATTGGATAAATGTGTTAGTAATTATGCTAGGTAGATTAATGATGATTTCATCAGGAGAAACAATAGTTGATTGGATTTTGGTTTGAGAGTTGTGATTGTTAGTTGATTCGATGAAGTAAGATAAAGTAAAAGGCTTATTAAAGTTCTATTTAATTTCAGTAGATAGTGATGTATTGGCTGTAGAGTAGCATGGTTTTCAAATGAGATTATATAACTGAATTATAGCTTCATTAGCTGCCTGAACCTAGTTGAAAAAGTCTGATATAGAAAAGATTTTATCTGTAAAGCTGCAAAATAATTTGACTACTTGCCATATACAGTATGGATCAAAAATAATTGGACAAGATTTTTTATCTATAATTTAATAAATAATTATTAAAATTAAATAAAAATTTAAATATATATTCTTTTTTTTTATAGTGGAACATGTGCACGGTACATAATCTTTATTGATACGTTTATATATCTAGATAGATACCAAGTATCTTTACAAATTAACTGATGATCAGTTGATATAGGATACCTTTTATGTCTTTGCAGTTAATCTGCAAGTTAACACTGCCTAGTACATATATTACTATAAGACTAGCTATGCTAACCACTATTACCCAACTATATGTCCATTTAAACATCAAGGAGATGTATCCACATGTCAGGTGGAACTTTCGCAAGGAGGAGAATCCTACTACTAGTTTAAACCCACCTAAACCTGCTGGTTCATTATTGCAAGAAGCAGTATATATGGAATATTATTATAAAGACTAACTCCAAAATTCCAATCTTCTGTTATTGCTGATCCTCAGGATGTGCCATTAACACAGCATTGCACTATCATTTTCATCACCTGTGAAACTGGCATCCTTGCTTGGATTCTGATTTAATCTTATAAAACCTTACTAGACTCACTTGACTTAATGATTTTTGTCTAGTTTTCTCATCACCTGTGACTAATATCTTGCCCTTTGGCCATATGATTAAGTTCTGTAGAACATCACCATTGGGATAGATCTACAAGCTCCAGATTGGGATAGATCAGCTTAGGATTAATCTCTTTATGTTGTGTGATGGAGTCTGCCATCGCCAGTTTGAGTTAAAGTTTTTTTGTGAACTTATTACCAAAGTTAGATCAGAAGCCTTTCCTCATGCAATCTTCCTTGCTTCGACCTGTTTTCAGCCTGCGATCATCGAGAAGACCAGAAATCCCATCTTTATACAACCTAACTAAATTTGGAAAATTGATTGTTTGTCAGCTAATTGGATATGACATGAATTGAAAGCTAGTCAACCAATCATAAACGTAATAAATTCTTTTGTAACCAGGTGAAATTGAATTCTAAACCTTCTTCTGGTAATCTATAGAGCACTACAACTGTGCTATGGACCTATAGGTTCTTAAATATATATTTTTTAATACCTTATAATTAAAGTTTAATATAAGTTTATTTTATTACAACTTAGTAAAATATTTTTTAATTTATGTTTAAAGTTAAAAAAATTATTATATTTTTTTATTATAAAATTTTTTATTAATAAATTTTTTAAAAATTAATTTATTATACTAATCTAAATAATAATTTTATAAAAATTATTTTAAATACTTATAAATTATTTTTTTTAAAAAAATTTTTATTTATTTTTAAAAAAAAAACATAACACTTTATTGATCTTATCAAATTGAATAAAAATATGTTATTAGAAAGTCAACATATATAAATTCGTTATACAAAAAAATCAATACAATATTCTATTCCCATTTTGTTCAATAACCATCTCATAATATTTTCTTATTGATTCTACTAATCCAATTAAGGTAGATTAAGGAATTTTGCACTATTTCTTTTTTATAAATAACATTAACTAGTTATAATTTCATAACATTCACCTTTTCATATTATTTTTGACAATTGCCTATAAGTTTTTGATAGAATTCAAGTCAGATAAGTTGGCAAGCCAATTAATAATTTCAGGAATATTCTCAACGATAAACACTTGAGTAATCTTATAAGTATATTTTAAATTGTTATCTTGTTGTAACTACTATCAAGTTTTTATATCAAAAAAATTTTTAGTAAAGATCTTCGAAGATCTTCAGGTATAGACCTTTAGAGCAAATATTACTATATTAAACTCCAGAGATCTTCGATTTATTTTAATAATAATAAAATATATTTATATTTACATATTATAATCTACAGTAGGTGCGAAAAAGATCCATAATTTTTTTATTACATATAAAAAATTCGTAATTTTCAATTTATCTGAATAATACTTTGATAAAAGATATGATTTATCATAAAATAAAAAAAAAATATGATTCTAATAGTCAGCCTTTTTTCTGTCTCGTTCAATTACTTGTTGAAGTCGGTTTTTCATGCTGTCAACTAATCTAAGACATAAACTTTGATCGAAGTCTGCCCATTCCCTCCTAATAATCGCCTGAAATTCGTCCACCATAATTTTTTTTTTTTATTTGGTATTTCATTAACTTTTTTCTCAACTTTTTTTTTTAATATACCTCATATATTCTCAATAGGGTTCAGGTCGGGTGAATATGCGGGCCATTCAAGAATATTGAGACGATGGGTTTCGAGAAGACGAGTCATAACGTAAGCCGTATGGACCCGGGAGTTGTCTTGCTGGAAACGCCAGCCACAACCTACACTAGAAACATTAGGAAAAAGGTGAGTATTAAGAATATTACAGTATTTTTGTGCATTTAAGTTTTCTGTGAATAGAAATAATGTAATTGTGCCTTCCGCAGAAAATGCACCCCATGCATGGACTTTATATGGGTGTTTAACCATACTGCGACATGAGCGTGGATCTTCGCGATGGTACCTCACTTGTTGAGTGTTTCTAAATATCTGAAGTGTTGTCTCGTTCGAGAAAATTGTCTTGGACCAGTCATCTTCAGCATGGTTCTGAGCCCATTTCAAACAGGTGATAATGTGATGAGGTTGAAGAAGAGGAACCCGAAGAGGTCGGCGAACGAAATATTGAAGATCTTTTTGGAGAATTTCTTGAACCCGACGAACTGACACGTTTATAGTAAGGTCATTATGAGTAAGTTTTGCAGTTATTTCTTTGGCTGTAATCACATTATTGAGCTGTATAAGTCTGCCTATATGACGATACTTTTTTGCGCCAAGCTTTCTAGGCCTTCCGGGTATAGGACGTATGGTAAGATCGCTATTTTTTTTAAGTCGGTTTACATGGTCATATACAGTAGACTTAGGAAAACCTGTTATATGTATGGTTTCGGTAGGTTTTTTAATCCCATTGTTCCATAAATGACTTATGAGTGACTTTTGTGTAGCGAGATCCATTTCTGGCAAGTCTGTACTAGTACAAAACAATACTTACAGTTCAAACACAGTCAGCAGCTATATATACATACGTGTTTATTTCTGTGGTATTATAAAATAAAAAAATTTAGTCATTTTTAATTCGGAATTGAGCCGTCATCATATTTTTTGTACAATGAATCAAAATTCCAAATCTTTTTCGTGCCCACTGTACAATTAATATTATTTGTTTTAATTTTTATATTCTTATAGTTAGGTATTATTAGTATTGCCAAAAAAACTAT